GCCTCACCTTCCTCTCTCGATTGCCTGTAATGCAAGAAGGCAGAACTCAAAGTTCACCAAATCGTACATGACCCCCAACACTCACCCCAACACTTTAAAGGTCGGACATCGAGACCTTATGGCAAAAGATGTATTCTTACTTGAACCTACATGCTGCACCAGTGTCATTCTGGGATTCCCAGAACACAACAGCCAATGCTGAGATTATGAAAGCCAACAACTTTCGACTGCGAAATACTCACTCAAAACACCACCTGCTTGGAACAACATTCGAATCAAATCCCAAATTGAAGCAGCCCCACCTTTCGAACAAAAGATGAACATGTGAGAAACCCATTTACGATTTTTTTGACACTCGCTCTCTGTCGCCTAAAGAACCAGCAATCACTTGATCAGTAAAACCCTAGTTACAGTAAACCAATTCGTCTGCAAAAAGTTGTTACTGACAGGACTTGATGAACAACCTTCAAAGACAAACAGCCATTAAGATCCGCGAGAGAATCAAACCAACTCACGACTTATTTGAGATACCTTTGCTGGTTTTCATTTCAACATTTCAGGTCGAGAAGAGCAAAACACAAATATTTGACGATCATGAGTTAATGCAATTGTATATTGTAAGTGACTTCAGAAAGTTAAACAAATGAAACTGCGAGCTTATTTCCCCAAAAAACACATCATAGGACGTAAATACGGCAATACTTCAAATAAAAAGCACCCACTTGACACCTCACAAAGAAAATAAAGAAACAATAATAGTAGATCTGTGTCTTAGGCACCATTAGCGTTCATACCAAATAATAAGGTCGCATACACTATGAGATCAAATATGCACAATTCACACCAATACGCAAAAGCGTGATCCCAAAAGAGGCAAAACTGATAAAATCTCGGTCGATCAAACATTCACAAACTTCCGCTCCTCGCCACGAACCAACAACTCCTCATTCAATCCCTTTACCTTTCGTTCCTGTTTCATCGCAACTCGTTCGTAGTCCTTCTCACCACAACCCTGCAGTACAGACATTTTAATTTTAATCCCCATTCGCTCAAGTAACCTAAAATCTACGATAAAATGGCTACATAAACGCCTGTAAACTTACAAACTGATACAGTGCACTACCAAAAGAGAGTAAAAAACAAGCAAACAAACAAACCGGACACGGTTTCGTCGGCATCAGCTCATAGCAAATAACACGCCTAGAACAACTGCAACATTTGTAAAACCTTTTATCAGCCTTATGACGTATTATCAAATGCCCGTTGATTTTGCAGTAATTACTTTGCTTTTGAGCCGTGTAATTACACTAAAAGTGAATTCAATTTCACTATTAAGAATGCATCCAGTACTTATTCAGGCAAACACTAAATATATATTTAGGCACCTTTTTACACGTAATGACATTACAGCCTTTTACTTCCATTAGAGACGTCACGAAAGTTTCGATTTTTTCTTTCTTTTCCATTTTATTAAAATACATTTCCTCACGAGCTTGATCATCCTAAAAAATACGTCCAGTAATCAACAGGCAAGCCTTACTGTCAAGAAATAATAGTACTTAAAATATGGAACAGTAGGTTTATGAAAAACTGTTACATTCAAGACCCCTCTTCCCACAACAAATTTCCCGTAAAACCTCAAAACCACTACCTTATTATGAACTAAATGCTGGAGCCTACCAACTAGCATATGGCGCCCACACAAAGCTCCAAAGCTAGCACCTTTACTAGAAATAATAGAACTACCATGACTAGGAAGACAATTATCTCAGCACACATTATAATAAGCCCTCTGTTACAAATTTATGACAACCAAGAGCTTTAAGCGAACCGTTGTTTTTCTCAAACTTATTCAGGTGGAGTGGGTTTGACAAAAACAGCGATTGATCCAAAACTAAATTAAAAAAATAAAAATCAAAGAAACATTATTTAAGCCCTCATAAATTACTGACCTTCTCAAGCTCAGCTTCATGACTACTCTTTTTTTTCAATAAAACTTTCAAGTCTTCTTCGGTAAATTTGGTCTTTTTAAATAAACCGCGCTTTGACGAATCATCAGTGTTCGACGGACCCGGTTCCGGTCTTTCGCAATCTAAAAAAGGTAATGCGAAACGCCATTACACAGTGCGAGACTTACCAACAACACGTTTTTTTGCTTTTCTTTGCAAAAGTCCTTTGTCGTCAAAAACTTTTTCGCTTTTTCTTCGAAGGATCTCCACCGCTCTTTTCTAAATCACGATATTGTTCTTCTCACACTAGAGGATTCAGCACTGCCTACTAACAAGATAAAAAATCAATGCAATATGAGCGTAAAAGATTCACCCTAGCTGCATCAGCCACTACTCGCTGGGACGAAAGTTTTTTTAGAGGGCTACGTAGCACAATTTCTCCTCCAACAAAACCGCGACCTAAACGAGGTGCCGATTCAAGTGAATCTGTATTCTCCTTGTTCTGAAATAGCCTCATAACAAAATTAAAAACCGCTAATTTAATGACATTTTAGGAAAGAAACCGAA